TGGCCACAAGGGCACAGTGCTGGTTCATGGTAATTTAATCAGCTACCAGCACACCTCTGCACATCTACAGTAAAACTGGGTGTTGGGATGTGGCAGAAGTAGGCTGCAGGTGAGCACGGGCCATGGGGGTGACCCATCAAATTCTACAGCCACACATGGGCAGTGAGGTTTTGGGCAGCTGCTCATCCAGACTCTGGAGGGGACCAGAAAAGGCAGGACTGGATTAGGGCTCGGTAAGAGAAAGAAGGAAGCAGGGCTTCCTCTTTTGAGAAGGATACTGCAGAACTCTAAGACTGGCCACAGGAGTGAAAGCTAAGATCTATTGCTGAGGATAGACAAAAGTGGATGGATAGGAAGACTGCAAGAACAGAGGACGCTTTAGGTGATAGTTTATGTATGTACAAGCCTGCAACAGTTTGTGGTGCATAGAGACTTTTTGAGCCGCATGTGGATTTTGAGTATTTGGCAACTGGCTCTGCTTTCATGAGCTTCTTCAGACTCCCTCAAGGTTCTACTTGTATCTAAGGAAAACATTACAGCTGAATATCTAAGAATTTAATTGGATTTAAGACAATTTTGGTCAGATACACAAATAGTTTATCACAAATATGCTGCATATTTCACTAAATGGTTGATTGAAAGAAAGAATGCAATCTTTTACAGAATAAAGTCATGCTGTCTTGCCAGGAAAAAAAAAACGTAGAAAAGAAAAAATATAGCAGGACAACATTGTACCATTTGAAAGTGTTTGATTTTGCATTTACAGTCTCTTCTACAAAAGTCAGATTTTACCTTTCTCATAAAGGAAGCATTTTTAATAATATTGCTACAACAGATCTTTAATCTCCCAATGATTCAGAAGCTTCAAAGACTTTGGATAAAATATTTCTAGGCTTTCTGACAAGTGTGGGTTTAAACCCTGCAATAATCTTAATCTGAAAAACTTTATTTCCTTCATCCCTCTACATACACAGTTCCTACCTTCTCTGTGTGGACATAAAAGATTGTTAGCCCTTTGCTTAGGACTACAATGTTACTCCATGCCTCTTCTC